GAAGGATTAATTTTGTCTTCGTTGTTACTTTCACCCCCAGTTGTTTATTTGTGCACTGTCACAACTGGGTTTTCAAAGTCTGTCCTTCCCTTCTGTGATTGTCAGTAGCTGTGGGTACAGGAGGCAGCTGTTCCTGATTGCATACCAAACCTAGCTATTCACACACCTGACTTGATTTGTGTTCCCAATTACTTATTCTAATAAAAGTCTAAAATGTATTTCATTTTGATGCTGTTGTACAGCGTAGAAAACGGCAGATTTATACGTCGCATTGTTTTTAACTGGCCTAAACTAATGAGATGAAGGAGCAAGATCCCCATCCAATGTCTTCAGCAGAGTTACAATATCTCACCCTGCATTTGTTCATTTACTTGGTCTGCTATTACTTAGTACATATTGCATTTCCATTAATTAAGGATGGTTATTTACATTAAAAGGGTGACAGGGTGGAATTGCCTAGCTAGCAGAGCAAATCCCTAATGACTCGGGCATCTCTGCAATGTTTATCCAGGTCTGCAAAGAGACTCCTGAAGGACAAACATTCTGACTTTTGCTCCACTATGGAGTATTTTTAGAAGGCAAGTTTATACATTATTGTGCCAGGAGAAAGATGTATGATTATCTAACACAAAAAACTGTTAGACACGTGTTAGAAAAAGCTTACAATACTCCATGATGCAATTCTACTTTACATGTAGCAATTTGCTTCTCAGTTTTATGTATACATGCAACAGAGAAGAAGAAAGAAAAACTAACTAAATCTAGTATATGTTTTACTGTCAAATTTTAACACAAAACTGCAAAGTCAACTATTACATCTTTTTCTTTTAGAGAATTTGAAAAGAAACAGTGTTCTCCTGGTTGTATCACAACCACTAAAACTTACAATGGACTCCTCATAAAAGATCTTTTTTTTTAATATGAAAGATGAAGCTCTATACAGAATGAAAGATAGTGACTGAGAAATACTGAGATTTAAGTATAAGACTTCATCAGCAGAACTAGCACTATACATTTTATACGCAGTTAGGGAAGACAGACTTGTAACAGGAAGTTACTTGTTATCAATAGCTTGTGCCCACCTAAAAAAGTGTGTTTTCCTGTATTTCCATCCGTTTTATATAATCATGCATATTTCAGTGCATATCTCCTAAGAGAGTAGTACAGGA